CAGCACTTCTCTTTTGACCCAAGGGAAGAACTAGGGCTCAGCTAATGAAGACCTGGACAGGTGGGAGGGAGGTGGATTCACTTTGGGACTGAGTCCTAAATGTAGATGTCTGTGTGTCCAATCTGCCCTGCCAGCCAAAGTACCCCCAATATATTCAGTGGAATTGGAGGGTTTTAACTGAGCAGCTAGCAAGAGACTGAGTAGTAACTAGATATAACATATCCAGAACACCTAGTGTTCCTTCAAATGTTCTAGCATTTCTCTTGCCACCTATGTCCCAGCTGCTTCTCCTGTCATCCTTTCCACATTAGGCTGATTTTCAGGTGCAAGCATCTTAAATGCCTAATATCTGGGCAACAGAGCTGAAGCCTATGTGAACAGCATCACATCTTAGGTGCCAGTGACTTCACTGACCAAGAGGGAGCCTCAGACTCCCTGCTGACACATACACATGCAAGTGTAGATGTGTCTCCATTGTGCCAAGTCACATCCTGACATGCAGTACATGCAGCATGATGGACTCTCCCTAACACCCAGCATAAGATCAGTGCTGCAGGTGGCCAAGGCTTTCAGGTCCTCACCAAACTCATCTCTGACTTGTGCATAGTTTATCTTGTGCTACACACAAAGGTTTAATGGGACCTCCCTACCTTTGGGAGGGTGCCTGTGCCCCAGGTCCTGAATAGTTTAAGCATCCCTCCTACCTTGTAACTAGGGTCCTGACTGAGGACTTCATTTTACTAATGAGTAAAGTGAGAAGAACAAGTCTGATTCCCCACTGACTCCTGTGAGTCAGTAATCAGTGAAGCATTTATCGCTCTATTTCTCCAGCAGTGCTGCAGACTGAATCCCCTTGAGATCCTCTGTGTATCTCTTAGTTTGTAACTTTGCCAAATATTCTCATTATTTTCTGACAACTTTTCCCTGAGGATGCCATTAAGCAAAAACAATTTCCATGAAAGTTATGAGTGGGAGAAGGAAGGGTGAAGGATAAGAGTTAAAAAAAGGGATGTTTACATTTGCAATGACTGCTAAAACTTATTCACTAAACCATTAACCATGTCAAGGATTCTTGCTCTGCTGAAACACAAGCTCATTAGAGTTGACATTAAAATTAAGCAGAGGCCAATTTACCATGGAAATGGGCTTTAAAATTCTTCACCCCTTAAGCCACTAATTCCAAACTTTTCCTGCATACTTCACTCCATGTATAAAAAGACCTGTGTTGCTGATACTTTTCTCTACTTTCAGTACAGTTATTCAGGCAATAACACATGTAAGGAAAACAGCTGTATTTCTTCAGAACTGCCTCTTCTGAAGTCCAGCTGTCCTTCAACACTGTCTTGCATGAAAGCTGTTTTGCTTTCACTTAATAACCAGAATGCTCTTAGACAGCAGAGCATTAGGTCTTCAGCTCTGAAATTATTTCAGCTCATGTCATCCATGAGCTGTGTGTTGTCACCTTCCTTGTCAGCCTCAGGAAAGACTTCTGGTGCCTTTGCAGCACTTGCACTTGCAATACCCTTCCTGTTGCTTCCTGCAGAGCCTTGCTGAGCACTATATGGCTTGGAGCTAAGATTCTGGGGGAATACAGGGGAGATGAACCACGCGGAGAGTAACTTCAGACTCACAGAACTCCAACATGATTAACTCAGCTTTGAAGTAGAGTGCATTGAGGTTTTCTGAAGTCCTAGGACAAGCACTGACCAGCTCCAGACTGAGACATTACAGGTGTATAACATGGATGTCATGTCAAATAGATGTCAAATCAGAATGCAAAGATAAGCTCTTCCTCTTGTCCCTTCCCAGCTCACAGCTATGCACTCATGTTGGCCTAGCTCATGCTGTGGGGGCTTGGCTGCTACTCAACACACCGTGGCCTTGGATCTATCTCTTGGAAACTTTATGCAGTGAAAACTAAATCCTACTCATGTATTTTTCCTGCTGATTATGGTCACTGCAACACCAACCTTTTACTTTGTAAGAAGATGACACCGGATTGCACCAAATACCAAGGTGCAGAGATCTCAGTCAGGCAGACACAATCTGAATTACCGGGAAGTTAAAACATCTGTTATTTGCTCTGCTATCATACTGGAAATGGTAATTACTCATTTTAGCAGTCTTCCACAGCCTATCTGACTGACATTAGAGCCTGTGTAACAGGAGGTTTTAATACATGGTTAGTTTAGTCCCCTGAAAAGTGTAAGTCTTTTATACTTTGAATATTTTATTGAAAGATTGTTGCAACAGAGCTGAGAAGGGAATTGAGATTTCCTGAGCTTGTGGCCCATGGTTATCACCCCGAGGCCACATCTCCTTTTTTATCTTTAGGCTTTGAAGTACAAAAACCCGTGCACACAGACAGTGAGGTTTGGAATGTCAGCAGAGTTAAAAGATTTAATGCAGGTGGAAACACCCCAAAGTCTGCACTTGTGACACGCTGGGTATGAAATCTTGAGATGCTCCAAGAAATGAACTAAGGGATCATGACACGCTTCCCTAGCCATCTGTCCCAGGCATTTGTGTATAGTGTGAATCACTGCATAATCTCAATGCTAACAAAATATTTCTGAGATAGGGAACTACAGTCTGCATTTTGTAAATAGCGAAGTAAAATAGAGAGAAGATAAATGACTTGCCCAGACTTTGACAGTCTTTATTTTAACTGGATAAGAGAGACAAAATAATCTGTACAAATCTTCTACTACTAGCTACACAACTGAGTAGAATTCCTTACCCTCCCCTACTAAAAACAAGCCATAAACTACTTAGGACTTACAGGCACAAACCTGGATTTTCATTTAATTCCCTTGGATAATTTGCAAGAGAAAACATCACAAAACAGATGGTTTTGGGATTGTTGATATGTACATGATTCTCCTAACACTTACATTACAACACTTCCCAAGGTTCACTGAACATTTTGCTACTTTTCTTAGCCAGATTGTTAGTTTGAGACATTTTTTGTAACCTGCCCTTTTCAGGAAATGGCAGCGAGTAAAGTTTTTGCTCCTTATTATATCTGCTTCATGTGAGTTTTGCTGGAAAGCTATACTTACAAGGAAATTATATTATACTGTCCGAGTTGTCTCTCTTCACTATATCCATTTGATATCTTGCTGTCTGCCTGCCAGGATTCTCAAAAGCTTTCAAAGGGCCTAAGGGAATGCCTTTAAAATGTATTTGGTTCTGTTAGAGAGAAAGATCAAGCCTTGTAAAATACTTTTCAGCTGCAAAGTCAGCTAAAGCCTTTTATCAGTTAAAGACTTCATGAAAAAACATACTCAAAAAGCTTCTTGTTGTTGCTTTAAATCTAAGCTTCAACTATGTTTTCTTACCTAAATCTAGGTTGTACTCTCTAACATAAGTTAACCCATCAATAGAAAGCACTCCTTCTGTTTGGAAAAGGTAATTTAGTAGGTTGCCTAAGTCTTCCACCTGTTCGATTCCCTGAAATACATGAAAATATGACTCTTCACAGTACATTTTCTGTGACTTTTGTGCCTAGCTTTTTGCCAGGCTTTTCCTGGACAGTGAGAATGATTTCTCAGATGGCTGCTGTGACGGTTTTGTTACCCATTCTCAGCTAATAACTCTAACATTCAACAGTTGTATCTATTCTTCAGGTGTGCCTGTCTACCAGGAGGAAAACATAATGTAATTCTCACTTTTCTACATATTTTTCAGATCTGTATATTTTCTGTTAAAGAGAAAATGGTGTAAAAACAATAATAAAAATTAAAATATTTTAAGAATTAAAAAAGCTTTACAAATAAAAAGAAAGACAGAATAGATCTAGAACATCTCTTTTTTCTTAGAGATCTTACTTAGTCCTCCAGGATTTCTGCCCTTATCAGGATGCTTCCCGATAAATGCAGACAAATGGAACTACACTGAAAGAAAACCACTTCTGCAGATATGTGGTATCCTCAGATATGAGGAAGTCCAAAGCTGTATCAATGAGTCTGGCTCTGAAGTGAGTTTTTGACTCTGAGTTATTCATACCATTGGCCTTCTTGACCACAGAGACACATTGTTAGCTGATGCTCAAACTGACGGTCACCCAATGTCCTTTTCTGCTAAGCTGCTTTCCAGCTGGGTGGCCCCCACTATATACTGGTGCACAGAACTATAGAATCATATAATTGTTAAGGTTAGAAAAGACCTCTAAGACCATTGAGTCCAGTTGTTAACCCAGTACTGCCAAATCCCCCAAATACCTTCACAGGTGGTGACTCCACCACCTCCCTGTCTCCTTCACCCCATCCCTTTATCACTTTATAAAGCCTATAGTGTTTTTCATTCCCCAGAAGTCCAACAGATTGAGTAGCATTTCTTCTGCTTACTTCAGGACATTATGTTGGCACAATCTCTAAAATCTTGTGAATTCTACTATGAAACTACATTTAATTTGATTCCATTTTCCACAAAAGCATGGAGTTATTCCTCCCCAGTAGCAGAACTGCTCTTCTCCTTGTTGAACTTCATGAAATCCCTGTCAGTTAATTTCCCTGTGGCCTTGTTTAACCCAGCCATAAAAGGGATGTCCAAACAGCCCAAGGGAAAGCACCAACACCATGCCACCAGACAGGATGGCTTTTTAGCTCTTTACTGTATATGATTGCTTCATTTATTTTACTCCCTTCTCAACATCTGCTCCAAGTATTCATCTCATGTAATGAATCAGTAGGATCAAGAATGGAGGAATCCATATTTATGCCTGAAGGAGGCCACAGCTCCTTTCCATGAGTGGGGAATAGAGAAGGCATTCAATTTCCACCCTGTGTTCTCAGCTACCCAAATCACACTTATTGGAACACCTATGCAAGTATATTAACAAGGTTTCAAAACACTTCACTTGTACAGCCATATGACACGGCCTAGCTTCCTCAAGCAGCTTTCTGCTTAGATTTGTTTCCTAAAATCAGCCTGATGTCTTTTTTCCATTTTCTCAGGTACAAAGAGTGGCACTGGAACTGTAAGAAGGGGGCACTTACTCAGTATTGTGTGTATCAATGGTGTGAAAAAGTTCATGCAGTTCTTCTCCACTCAGAACTCCATCAGCAAAGTAAGCTTTGAATTCGTCAAAGGACAGTTTTCCATCATCTGGAACAGTGAAGAAACGAAAATTGCCTTAATTTCATTCATAATTTTGCTTGTTTACTTCATGCAGTAGGAGAGGAAAGTATTAAAACCTTCTAGGTCTCCAGCTTAAATGCAGAAGCTTTATATATTTAATAAAGAACATGATGCTAAATGTATCATCTGTTGTATCAGAGTTCTCTTCTTGGTAACTCAGTTATTCTTCCTCCTTCTTATCTTTTATGAAAAGATAGTTTGGTTTTGTTAAATTTCTATTGGCAAACACATCAATACAGTCCTGTTTTTGCCCTGATGCCATTCACTGTGGCTTCTCCCCATCCTGCCCCATCCTTCCCCTACTTACTCCCTGCCCTCTGCATGGAAGATCGGCAACCTCCTGAGACGGAGTGGGGTAGAGAAAATCCAGGGAAATACAAAAGCAGGCAATTGTTGAAGGAATGTGCTATTTCAATGAAAATTCCTTCAGCTATCTAGAGCTATCTATTTCTTTTTCCTATTCCTCCTCTTTCTTTCCTCTGCTCCCTGCCTTCCGCAGGGGAGACTGAGACTGAAGTACACAATTAAAAAGCAGCAGGTATCTGACCTGACTCTTCTCTCTAGCTATAAACACTAGTCAATACACTGCACTGGCTTGCAACACTTGTCCTTCTTCATAAAATACATCTTTCAAAAAAGTTCCATGCTTGGTGTGTAATTAACAAATAAATTAAACAAAAAGTTTGACTTTCATGGAATAGGAAGCCAGCCTTGTGTCCTCTTTCCTGGAAAGAATTTAAGCTAATTTTCTTGGTCAGCAGAGAAGAGAAAACATTTCTATTTACCAGCATAATTCATCTGAAGATTACACCAAAATATAGGAATGAGAAAAGTGGTTTGGACATATATCAGAGGTCAGTCAAAATGCTCAGATCAATTTTCATATGGAAGTTGAATTGGCCATTTAATATTCAGGGAAGTCCAATTATGAAAAAGTTTATTTTATAAATAACTGTTGTTCTCATTTGTTTGGGACAAACCCAATTATCACCCCATGGGTGCTAATTATTATCAATACCATGACGTAGTTAGGTAGTGTCTGCAGGACTAATGGGACACAGAGGGAGGGGAGGTACCATCTGATAACATTTATGAGAACAGTAATGTGGTTTACAGTAGTTCAAGAGGGAAAAGCCAAAGAAAGATTCACCTTTTGCTATTATGTAGAAGAAGTTTGAAAGATTAAACTGTAATTAAGTAATCATTTATCTAAACTGATTGAGCTTTTGCATGAAGCATAAAGAATGTTTTTATAACCTAACACTTCATAACTCTGATTTGGGTAGCACTAAATTTAGGTTCACATGTTTCTTTCTCTTCCTTCAGTAACATATTGAATCCCTCACAGAGCACTAAACAACTGTATAGGATAAGACTAAGATGTCCTAAGCATCAGATTAATCCACAATGTACTTTGGCATAATTTTATAATGGCTAAGAATCTATTCCAAAAGCAGTATCTAAATCCTGTAAATACATACTGTACTACAGTAGGCATATTTAAAAAGTACAACTGAGTAGTTTCCTCCATCTTTTACTTGCTCTTATTTCATAATTTTTTTGATTTGAATATATGGCTTCAGATATGTAATCTTCAAGAGGTTTCAAAATTGTACAAATTACATATCTTCCTCAACAAAACCATTTTGAAATGTTTAATATGAAAAGACAGATTGTAGCTGGAGATTATCATTATGATCAAAATAAAATGTCAAGATCTAGAAGAGCTAAAAACCAAGATGGCAGAAAACTGCCATGATTACCTGACTGAGAATCTCAACACATTTGCCATTTGGCACTGGTTACAGGGAAGGAATATCAAATATTGAGTTTGTCGAAAGAAGCTATGCTTCTTTTGGCTCATATAGATACAGTTAATTGCTTAATCAAATTGCCTCTGCAGCTTTATCCTTTGCTGGGAAGGGTGATTTTTATGCAAGTTATACATGTACTTAAGAAACTAGTCACTTGGCAACTTTCCTGAGATAAACATATTATGAATTTACCCACTGAAAAGCCTGGATATGACACAAAACCTGAAACATGTCTGTTTATTTCTGTCCTTTAGGATCATTGGCTTTACCTCACTCCAGAAAATTATTGATCCAACAACAGCCAGGTTGGGCACTGTAGCTATTTTCTTTAAATTTTATCATCCAAGAGCAGACATTGCCTTTTGCTTCATTGCTAGTTATTCTCAATAACATTCAGAATGTTATTGACATTGACTGACACACCACTGAGCTTGTTGTTGGCAAAACACAAGGAGATTTGAGCACCTATTTGGTACTTACAGACTTCATAGAGTTACATTAACTAAAAAAACCCCTGACTACTCAGGGCATTTTTCTGATATTTTATGAGTGTAACTGTTTTGTTAGTGCAGCTGGGGAATCAGCCACCGGTGGCCCAGGCCACCTGTGCTTCCTCAGTGCTCAGATGAAGCTCGGACCCAAAGCCTAAAAAGTGCTCCTTGTGCTGTTAAATTGAAGATGCATTTGCCTAGCCTGTTCATTGTTTTTTCCTTTTTTCCCCTTAAGTGTCAAGAATATCAAGAATAGCTTTTATTTTAAAGTCTGTATTACATGTCCTCAGCACCACCTCTCTGGGCACACCTCACTGCCCCCAAAGCACCAGATTAATGCTGTTTGGTTTAAGTGCTTCAGAGCAGTTGAGCAGAAACTTCTATTATAGATGCTTAAATCCTTTCCACTGGCAAAGTGACAGGGGAAGGATGACTCATGAAAGGCAAACTTCTCCGAAGCTACACATCGCTCAGAGTAATAAACCTTCAGCAGTATTTGCCTTGCAATGTCTCAAAGAAGCAGTTTTGCAAGACTTGCTTGCTTTTGTCTGTCTTCTCTGACATCTTTCAAAAGCAGTGTTTCTTCAAAAACAAGCACAGTCACCCATCCTCCTTGAAGCCAGAATGCTCCCATCTGGCAAACAAAAATATAAATAATAAAATTAATCTCCCCATGAAGCACTTGCAAATTTAGAAATATAGTTACACAGTGGTTTAGAGGAGTCTTTCTTCAGGTTATGATTGCATTCTTACATTTATTTCAGTAAAATTCACCTCTCTATTAAAGAGATTTTTTTTTATAAAATAGGCCCAAATGATACCCCCCAGCCAGTCTGCTGCATAAACACTAGTAATCTCCAGGACACACATTAGATAACTGATGGAGGAAAGCCACACACATACTCTCTCTTGGAGTCGAAAGTGAGTCAAAAGATATCAAGCAAACAATGAACACCAAACCAGTCTTCTTATCAGGAGCCACATCAGATGGAGCTTGTATGGCTGAATGGCAATCCTAGGGCTTATGGCAACTGGAAGAGCCACATGGAAGAGTTTATGGCAATCAGAGGGGAAAGCCACACTAGGCTAAAGCTCATCCTGGGGTTCATGCAGGAATTTGGAAAGTAGAACCCACAGCACTGCCCTGCCCAACCAGATGGTTCCCAGCCTGTCTGCAGACTGGCAACATGCACACTGCCAGGGTAGTCAGGTTTTTTAGGGTCTGGAGCTCTATGAACACAGATCTCTGCCCTTGTAGGCCAAAAATTAGCAAAGGAAGAAGAGATAACAACAAGTGAAACAAATAAATAGAAAAATCCTCTGTGGTAGAAAGTATTTATTAACCAGGAAGGTAAAAAAGGACTAGGAAATGGATCCCCCTCCCAGCTCACCTGCTCCTGGGGACCTACTGTGGGACTTGTCTTTTTGGAAGGAAGTGACAGTCGACACTGCTGTAAAAGATTTGGATCAGAGCACTTAAGTGCTCTAAGATATTACCATATGCACAGAGATCAAGATAGTGGGGGGGGACACATGACAGCAGACATAGACAAACCACATGCAAAAATAGGAAAACCACCCAATTTATTGGCATATGGCACATAGGCTGGAATCAGATCAAGAACGAGCTGCCAAAATAACAAGTTTCAGTGTGCAAAGTGAGCATGCTAATAATATCCACTAGGTTCCAGTCATAAGGGGTGGCATCAGAAGAAGTGCAGACATAGGCTGAAGCTTTAAAGAGTCTGGGCAAATGCACTTAGCTTTCATTGACTCTGATCTGTATTGTATGTTGATAGAATCAGAAATAAGGTTGAGCCATTATTCCAGCTGTCATGCTGGAAAAGCTTACCACATGCAACCAAGTGATTCCAAGGGGACTAGGCTAACAGGGAGAGAATTTAGGTTGTCTCTATAGTAATAATTTCTGGAATTTGGAGCACAGAGTCCAGCCCTGCAATGCTTGAAGGACTCAGGAAGGTCAGATGGGGAACCTCACCCCCAGGAGAGCCTGGGCTCTGAAACAGGAACCAGGGTGATGTCTGCAGTGGATGCAGATGGTCAGGAACCAAAGAGCAGTGTGCTGAGAGTTCATAGAGGGTGTGCTGCAAGGGCTTTGCCTCACTAATCCATTTTACCAGTATTGATTGAGTAATTTGGGAACTTAAATCTGGGATGCTGCAGTTCAGAGAATTTCTGTCCTCTGGCTCCTGTTCAGAATATGAGATCTATAAAGTCATCCAGTAAATGTGTGGCTCAATCATGGCCACTTTGCACCACTCAAACCTGGCCTTTCTGGGAACCATGGTGCATAGAGCTTCCTCAAGGGATTCCTGCATAGTGTTGTTTTTCTCAAGGAAGGGCACACAAGATATGAGTCACTCTGTCATGCTGTGACCTATTTGGCAGGTCTGTATGGAGGGAAGAGTCCATGTGCTGCTGCAGCAGCCATCGAGCAGCACTGCTGGGGGCAGCCCATGAGCTGGCTGAAGACCTCATGAGATGTCAGGATGTTATAGTCCCAGATAGGAGACACTGGCCTAGGAAAAAAATGCTGAAATCAGGGACTTGGCATTCCTTGCTTTGGTGTAACTATAACATTTTTCTTGAAAAAAGTTTAACCCACTAAGTGGCCCTCCAGGCCAACTTGGACAGTTCACTTTAGGGTAGATTCAAGAGATCCCTTCCCTGCTTTCCCTGCCTCTCAAAGGCATATTGTCTCAGTTCTCTGGGATGGCATAAACTATCACTCTGGTAAAAAAGCTAGAGCCACTGAGAAGTCATGGTCTGAGGACTGCTGTAGTGATACAGTTGTCATCCTGCTAGAGCTCACCTAGAGGTGCATGAGCAGATGTAGCTGGTAGAAAACTCACCTGAAAAGTCAGTGTTTATTCTGCAATGGTACTGTCAATAAATAATGAATATGAAAACACCTATCTCTGCAAAACTGACCTAGAGTAAGTGTTGCAAGATTTCCTCTTGATGATCATACAGGTGCAGTTCAGTGGCTTTTTGTTTATTCTGTGGAAATCTTGTTGGGTCACTCAAGAGTGTATGATCTGTGAATCAATCCCCTTGGTCACTGACACCAGTGGAAGGAATAGGATGCTACTGCTGCACTGATTTTAAAGAATCCTGTATTTATGACCCATGCTTTTTTGATGGGCTAATATTTGCATGATTTTATAGCTGGGCTGAAATCCCCAGATCATTGCAATCAGCAGCAATTTTGATACAGGTGTATTATCATGATATTTTATACAGTTTGAGAATTGTACATTTAAAAGTCTTATGTCCCTGCTCTGTGTCGTGGACATCAGGGGTTCTGAATGAAGACACATGACAGAAAGCAAAGATTAATCAAATCTGGCTGTATTTTTTATTTTACAGATTCTAGTTTAAATACATTATAAAAAAACCCTTTTTTTGTGGGGGGGGAAGCTTTCACTGAGTGCTTGTTTGATGTGTCAGAGAAAAAAATGAAAGCAGGCATAAATGTACGAGTTCTGACATTAATAAGATTTTGTTCCTAGTCTGCTGGTTGTTTGATATTCAGGTTTGGCAATCTATGGAACTTTAATCTCCTTTTGTTTAGTCAGTTTTTAAAATTTTCCCTCGTTTGTTTGCAGTTATTCTTGACTGCCTGCAGCATACTGTTTGCAGTGTTCTTTATGGTTAAGGCTTTGCAATTTTTTTGACAGTGACTGCTTCTATAGCAGTTATTACCTGTGATGTTTTCAAATATCTTTCTCTTAGAAGCTTTGAGGATGTTTGAGGTATAGGTTATACTCAGTGCTTTTTCATAATAGCTGACTTGTATATGCAAATCAATGACAGCATCTATATACAAACAAACTTTTCTAAACCTGTCATATTGAGTTGCCCTCTTTAGAGCTGCTGCTTGGAGCTTGAGCCCCTGCTTGAGCTTGGGGGCAGGAGTTGTTAAGTTTGGAACAAGGAAATAATGAAATACCAATTCTAATTTGTGGAGGAGAGGGACAGGTGAGAGGGTCTTCTCCTGGAGAACATGGCTGGGGGTCACTTCCTCCTCCCTCCAGGTTTGACTGGATGGATGTTTCCACACTGAAAAGTGCTGAGGGGAGTCTTGAATGCCAGAGCATGCCATGTTTCCAGAACAGAAGAGGGGACTCATGCCTTAAAAGGTGACTGTTGTTCTGGTGCATACACTCAGCAGCCCACTGCTGGGTAAGCTAGTCATTGGGCTTGGGGTAATTTGTTTCCACCTTTCTAAGAGAACAGGTCTGCAGCAGCCAGGCTCCCTGCAAGAAAAAGCTGGAGATGATAAAGTAGAAAGACTGCTAAAAGGTAAGAGTAACTGTCTTCTTCCCCATGAGGATGGGAAATGACCCCTACCATAATGCAGGCAAAGGCAGGGCCCTTTCTCCAGTTATTTTTTTATCTGGTGCTCCTTGTCTTCGGTCTGTGTTGAACCAGCAGTGTTGAGGCACCTTCCCTCAGCTAAAGGATCTGTTAAAGAGGACTGTTCCTCTTGCAGGATCAGGAGTTGCATTATCAGTAGATTATGACCTTTGTTTTTACCATCCATTTTGACAGTCAGATTGTTCGTGATTGGATTTCTGCAACATAATCTATATTTGAAATTACATTCCTGTGCTAAGAGGAGAGAATTATAGCAGAGGCTCTTCTAATTGGGAACATGTCAAAGCTGCATGGTCAGGAAAGGCCCCTGGGTGACCTTTACCAGCAACTGATGTTGTTTCACTTGACTGCAAGTCACTGTAAGGCTAATGGGGAACTCCATTTCCATCTCAGCATATCAAAAGGTGAAAAAAACACCTCATGCTGACAAGCACGTACAGATGCCACATTCACGTATGTGTGGGGTTACTACTGCTGCCTGTGAGACGAGAGACGTAAAAAATTGGCATTTTCAGTTTCCATATTTCTTCACTCTGTCCCTTGCAGAATAGGGACAAGATCTTACTTTTTGAGAGGAATTTAATGAATTTGATTTTGTTTTAAACAGCAAAAAAATTAAATAAATGAAGATTTTTCCTTTTAGCTGAAATTAGTTCTGTGTGACATCCACACACTTTCCTTTGAGCGTATGGAGTTTTATAAAGTAAACCTGACCAAAATTTCATTTTGACATGCAGACCTGAAACCTCTCCTTTCCAAAAAGGTCAATGTGCAACATTTCACCTTTATGAAATTGCTTTCTTTCCCTCAGGGTTTTCTGTTGCTTTTGTCAATATTATGAACCATATATTTCTTAAAAATCCTTCCCTATGTTTGTCCTCCATCTAAAAAAGTCATATGACCTTTCAGTTTTAAGAAGGAGTGCAGATCTGCTCCACACAGAGCAGAGCTGCTCAGCCATGAAATAAGAACTATAGATAAGTTTATGAAGCTGAATCTCTCATGGAAGCTGTGCACAGCTGATATTTCCAGAAACAGAACAGTAACAGAATTATATACATACTGGGGCTGGCAAAGAAAGAAGCCACCACATTTGTATGACTTCTTTCACATACAGGAATGACTGTTTGCTAAAGAACTTTCTCAATTAAACATAGACATAAATCATTGTAGTACTTTTGAGTAACAGCATATAGAGGTAGGAATGACAGCAACTAAATTCTCTGAGGCTGATAAGGTTTTGTATTGTGGAAACAGTTTGTCATGGGTCACATGAGCCGTTTCCCTTACTTTCATAGCCAAGTATTAGTAATGAGATAAGTAATGAGCTTACCTTGGGGGGAGGTGGGGGGAGGAAACCCAAATGTAAGTGTTCTGACCACTGAAGTGCTGTGGATCCACCAGGGCTGGGACAGCATGAGCTCAAAGTCCAGGGCAGGGACACAAAGCTGGAGGGACTCTTTTTGACTCCAAGGGAATAATGACCTCTGCTCTGCACTGTGCACTCTGACTCTCATCAGTCTTCGGGGCAGACACACACACATCTATTTCCAACACCATGAGGAGGTCTGGGGGGGGGATGCCAGCAGAGCTTGGCCTTGGTTGGTAGGTAGCTAACCTAGAAAGGCACTGCTGAAGAGGAGATTCTTCTCCTCCCCATTCCAGCCCTCACTGTGCACCATCACTGCCCATGCAAACCACTGGCAAGCTGACTGAGGGAGATAACAAAGAAAGCATTACCAAAACACTGTCACATTGATGGATTCTGTGGTTCCTGAGCTCTCTGAAGGAGGCTGTCATGGTCTCACAGGAAGTGCCACTTGCTGCACATGAGCTGGGGCAGGAATAACAATCAGAGATGGGCTGTGGGGGTGGGACTTCCCTCTCAGCAACAATAAATGGTTATTCAACAGGCTCATTTATACCATCAAACTGTACAGTAGCCCCTTACTGGTCAATAGTTCTCCCTTGTAAGTTATTATCTCCGATTTTCTCAGTGGTATCTATTTGCCTTCTCTTTATTGAATGTACACAATATCCATGTTCTCAGGATTGACTGGGAATCACTTGTCAGGGTTAAACCTGTCTTAGCTGTGAGTTTAACACTGTTCATCGCTTCTCTCATTAATAAAAAACTCAAGACTTCTGTGCCATAAATATGTGAGCTAGATTCAAGGCTTTATTTTGCCTATTGACATGTAGAAAAATACATAACTGCAAAACGTAGGAAACAAATGTGATTTCTGGATATAGCCCGTGGTGTTTTTAAAAAGTACTAAGATGAAGCTACTAACAAGTATTTCAAACCAGATTTTGTCAGTGTCACTAAGAGAACACCCACATGCACCCAATGTACAACAAACACACACACCAAAATGTGAAAGCACAAGATCAGCCCTTGAAGAACCTGCAGGGAGGATCAGTGTACAACATAATACATGGCATTGAACCCGTAGAACACATAAAATGAAATGAGGGATGGCTGGCTTTCCTGTTAGGATGACTTAACATGGTGAATCAATGATGGATTCTTTTTTCCAAAGGGAGGGGGAAGATGTGTGACCAATCTTACCATTCTTGTCTGCTCTTCGTAATATCTAAACAAAGAGAGAAAGAATAAAGTCACTTTTTCTTTTTTTTTTTTAATGCATTAATAACAAACAATGCTGTATTTAGTGTAGATTTTATGGTTTAAGATTTACATGACATTTTCACAAGGCTGCAGACAATTGTAAAGTTCTTAGTGTGTCTCCATACTTCCCCCAGAGTATTGCTTTATTTAACTCCTCCTGTGTTGTGTGCACTACTTACCAAGGACCATAACAAGAACCACTTTTATTTCTAGTTTGTTTATGGATTATAAGGATGATGTTTAGGCACACAACCTGATACCGTATGGCTACAATGATACTGGATTCAGCTTTGAGAGAAGTGGTTTAAAGAAGCAGAGCAAGTATGATAGCTGGGAGGATGCACCGAGCATCTGAGATGGTGAGAAAGGCTAATGGTTTGTAGAGGTGGAGGAAGCAAAGGGGTAAGTCAGGAGAGGAGTCTGGTGGCATGAAGGGATCAGACTGGGTGGTGGAGACAGCAGCATCAGATGTATAGGAGCAAATTTGAGGACTCTGATAGAAAGTAGAACCCCAATATAGAAGAGAGGGGAGAGGGAAAGCATAGAGGTTTATAAGCTATGAAGCCAAGGACAGCATGAGGGTGCTTACTGTAGATCCCTCCCTTCAATACGTCTGCCACAAAATTGTATGTGACCCCAGCTTGCCCTCTCATTGGTCTGCCTTTTCTTCCCACTGTAAATGACACCTGAGGAAGAAGCTATTTAAATATTTAGGTGAAATTCTGTAACTCCTCATGTAGAATCTGAGAAGATGATCCTGGGGAATTAATCCACAAAGAGAGGTGGCAGAGCCTTCCAGGCTCAGCCCTGCCATCAGCAGGGACACAGCACCAACCCATCTGGGACTATATGCAGGGCCCTGTCTTACTGCTGGTGACATGCTGGCATTGCAACTGTCCCTGCTGGAGTCCCACCACAGGCACCACCACATCAGTGGACACTTTGGAGAAAGACTCAGGGACGGAGAGTGGAACCGACAGAGGGAGTCTCCTCCAGCTTCTTTGCTCCCTGCTCTTCAGATGAGGTGGTTTTGCTGTGGTGTGGTCACTACATGACACTTCAGATATGAGCAACTGCCATCTATTGTCACCCTGCTACATTTCCGAACGTAATCCCCACCAGTACTTCAGCCTGAACCACAAAAGGGAGTCGTCTGGGCAATGCTGTAACAAGTGTAGGCAAGGGAAGAAAGCAAATCTTCCAAATATAGTTTCTATTGCTGCTATGAATATCAGTAAAGTGTTTCAAAATGAGCACATACATTTTTGAGGGCTGACAGCAACGAAAAAGTTCTTTGGTTTGATAAGCCACTAGTAGCATTTAAACAGCTTGTCCAGCACAGGTCGTAACTCTCTACTCCTGGAGGTGAAACCAAAGAAGAAACTCAAGGATCCAAGTGCCAAGCTCTGTTGAAGCATCTTTGTGATTGTGTTCTGTAGGTTGAGGTTGGTGGGGAATGAACAGAGTTGTGACCCACATCCAAGATTTCACAGTTGGTCTCTAAACTGAACTTTGCTTTGGATCAAGTTTACAGCAAATAAAGTGTGAAATTTACTTAGTAAGATGATATTTGTCCTCTCTATATATCCAAATAAATCATACACTCAATTTTCAGTATGAGGATTGGGCTCTTGAAAGGTTTTAAGTTTTTAATCTTTTACTGGAAATTTTATCCCAATGAGAAATAAAGACTAAATGCAGAGCAAAGGAAGGATCATGTAAAGCATCATTAGAACAAAATAAAACCTCTTTCTACAGTTCTTAACAGGTAAAATACAGTCCTAGATTTCTGGTAGGTTAGGCTGGAGTTTTGCTGGTGCCTGGGCAGAGCTGCCAGCTATGGGCATGGGCACAGCATGTCTGATGTGGAGGAGCACAGCATGCTTCAGCAAGGGGATAAATACCTGCAGCATGGACCCAAGCAACATGAAGAGATGACCAGCGACACGTGCCACGGGTAGCAAGGGCCCGTGCAGAGCCACAAGGGCATCACACCCACACCAGGGAATCCAACCCAAGACCTCTCCGTGACCAAGAGCACTGGCTCATGGATGTACAGGACTGGGGCAGATGTAGCCGTGAAGTTTCAGTCAAACAGAAGTGTTCCGTAAATATGGGTCAAGGGTGGCAAAAGCTTCTGCACAAGTAATTTTTAAAAATTGATTTTAAATAAATTATTTTTATGTCTTTATTAATTTTATAATTGTTATTTAACATTTGCATTAAGTTTAATTAACTTAAAAAAAACCAAAACAAAACCTTAAGGAAATATTAAAATCCTTTGGGCACTTTAGAGGGACTTTGACACAAGGCCAGGGAGGAGGTTGCACTGGAAATCCTGTCTTGCTCTCATTAGGTCTCTCTCTAGAGAGAGACTATTTACAAGAGCATGTAGTGACAGGACAAGGGGAAATGGCTTCAAGCTGAAAAAGAGTAGATTTAGGTTAGATATTAGTAAAAATTCTTTACTATGAGGATGCTAAGGCACTGGAACAGGTTGCCCAGAGAGGTGGTGGCTGCCCCATCCCTGGAAGTGTTCAAAGCCAGGCTGGATGGGACTCTGAACAATCAAGTCTAGTGGAAGGTGTCCCTGTCCATGGCAGGGGGGTTGGAACTGGATGATCTTTAAGGTCCTTTTCAACCCAAGCCATTCTGTGATTATATGCCCCAATTGGACCAGGACCTCAGTGCTTGTCCTTTTTCTGCAGTCTTACAGCCAGTCTCTTGCTGCCTGGTCTAATTTAAAGGTGTTTGTACAGATGGGGCTACTTCACTGAGGGGTAATCACATAGCTACACCCCCCCCCCAAATGTCTAAAATATCTATTACATGAGTGTAGTTTTACAGGAGGAAAGACCTCTAGGGTCCAGTCCCTGATTTGAATCAGGTAAGAGACTTGATTTGAATTTAAAATTTTCCTCCAGATGTAGGAGCAGAATCACAGCAGCCCCCCCCCCTTCCTCCTCTTCACAGTTCTGTGAAAGGCATCTGCTTTCCTATAAATATGAACCTGACACTGGTTTAAGAAACTGCTGAAAATTAAACAACTTTAATTTTTTTTTACTTTGGTAAAATCATAAGTTTTCAGTCTATCAGATATTCTGACCATATGCAGTTTCCTAATCCAGTGTGCTGAGTTAAACTGGGGAGTTGGTTTCATTCAATGTATTTTAACTCTTTCCTGGCAACTTAGATTTCTGTCTTTGTGATGTATGCCTGTAATTCTCCTGTTCCTCTTACAAATGGTATCTCTAAGACAAAAATCTGCATTTTCATTATATACTTGAACTGAAATAATAGAAGTCAACAAAGAGTCTAATTTAAATGATTTCTCATGGAGGTTAGAGATAGGAGATGAGCAGATGAGGGCTGCTTGAAACAATTCAGCGGAAAGGTCAGGGAAGTTATTGTCAGCACATTAGAGAAAACATCTAGATAAAGGACCCTTTAATGCAGAGCATGGAATTTTGAGCTGATATTGTGGAGTAACCCCAATACAGGAGCTGGTCTGAGGTAGGTCAGAGTTGGCAGTAGAGTTGGTCTGAAGATTTGTAGGTTTCATTAAGGTCAGGGAATACCTTGGAGATCTTTAGGTGAGAGTTTGCCGTTTATCAGGACTTCCCCCAAAGAAAGGTTTTGTGCTGGGCAAGTTTGGACAAAAAACATAACAGCTGCACCTTGTGATATGCTGAGTTCTTGGTGATGGTCTAAGGGTGGCCAGATGAACAGCAGGGCACCTTGCTGAGCTCGCCCTCAAAGGGCTCAAGGGCTCAGGGTTCTCTGTGCATTGACCCTGGGCACCTCAAATCCATCAGGGTCTAACGGATGGGAGGCAGTCTGCAAGTGTGGGGAAAAAAAATCTTTTCAGGGTGAGAAACTCTGTAGTGAGAAGCCCCTTCCAAATTAAAATAATAAAATTCCAAGCAACATATTTTGAAAGGTGACTGTTTTCACCCAGAACCTCTCGTAAACACCCACAACCACTAACCTGCTCTTCTTGCACATGCAACCATCAGAAGCGAAAGGGGAAAGGAAAAGGAAGAGGGGAAAAGGAAGGGGAAAGGGAAGCAGAAGGACCAACAGTCTCACTGTTTTTCACCTCTTTCCACAGCTCCAGAAAAAAAAGAAAAGAAAAAAAAAAAGAAAAAAGATAATAAAAAGAAAGAAACTGGGGGGGGAGGGTGGGAAAAGGAGGGGGGCAGGAAAAAAAAAGACAAGAAAAAAAGGTAAACCAGAACAAACCATATGCCCCCCACCCCAAACGCTGGCAGCTGTCCTGTGCGGAAGTAGAGGCTCATGCCAGGAGTGCCGCGTACTCACATCGCGGAAGATGCGCAGCCCCGCTCCCCGCCGCCGCATCCGCCCGCCGCAGCCGCCGGCACCGCCGAAGCGCCCCGGGGCCGGGATGGGGGCGGCGGACCGGCCCGGGGGATGGCTCCGCCGGGGGCAGAGCCGCACCGCGGCCACCGCCTGCCCGGGGAAACCCCCAGCGGGGCAGGAGAAGAGGCGGCCGTCGGTGCTGTTTGCCCGTGCGGGAAGGGTTTGTCCCATCCCGCCGCGCACACACCCTGTTGCATCTTTAAAGCGTGTTCGTGGGGAGACTTGCTTTCTCTCCATGAAAGAAACTTGGCTCTTACAGTCTGTCTTTGTCAGGCCACATCATCAGTTTTCATCATCATTTTGGCTGCTTTCCCCATCAGTACAGTCACTTTTGGGGCGGTTTTTCTCGAGCCACAAGACCCCAGACTGAGGTCTCGGCGGTGCGGAGGGGTGGTGGGGAGTGACCGTGCTTTCACATTGTGCTTGCCGTGCGGAGACCGCGATTAGCTGCACTCTGTTAAAAGCGCTGGGGCTTGATGAGAAGGTTCTTGAATGTAATACACCTCTCAAAGCGGCCTGGCCAAAAATCAGGGGCTGCGGGGACATTGGAGCGCCGGTGTTCGCGGAGAGGAGAAAGCGGGGAGCTGTGAGATGGGG